CTTGAAAGCTTTATAGACATTACTTTGACTTTCTATGTATTTATACTTACTTGATAGGTTAGAAACTTGATCAACAAGTTAATCACGTGTTAGTAGCTTGCAAAACAAACTAATTGTATGGCACATATATAAAAAGCTTGCCTTGCAAGTTAAGATACATATCTTGCAAAATCAATATATTTTGGAGGTCCTATAGGATACCACTACATAATTCCTAATTAAAAATATATATGGAGGCAAGAGTGAAGCCTTCTTCACTCTTGTCAATGTCTTTTTAGTTCTTAATCTTGTTTCAAGACTTTCTAGTCTTCTTGTTTTTAGTAATAGCTATTCTAGTTTAATTTCATACCATCTTTGAGTGTTTATCTAATTCTTTTGAGTGAAATAAGAATATATTGATGATATCTTTTTTTGAGTTTTATGTCTTTGATATTAAGTCACTAATGAAGAAGGTTACGCCAGTGTCAAACTATTGAAGATGCATTCTTTTGGTAACAATATTGACAAATATAACTCAAATAGAATCATATCAAATAATAAGAAAATATGTCTCATTGAAATTGATGTCAAATTTTTACGTGAAGCCTTTAGCAATTAGTTGTGCCTTATATTTGTTAATATTGTTAATTAGTATGTATTTGATTTTATAAAGCTGTTATTACATATGAATATTTTATTGGCAGGTATTGATATCAATTTCTAAGTTTGGTTTTTAAGGAAGAAATTGTATTCTCAATCCATAGCTGCCTCCTATAAAACATAATCTTAAAATATTGTTGTTTCTTCAAAAATTTGTGTTTTTTATATAAAAAATAGTATAGATGGCTAATAATATAATAGGAGGTGAATTCATCACCTCAAAAGATGTCAATGAAGTAAGAATAGTAGAAATAAGAGACACAGTAAGTAATAGATGATATATAGATTTGATTTTTAGGTAGAGTCTATTACTAATGTCCAAAAAATGGAGTTCAATATTATGATTTATAGTTGCAGTGGCTCTAGAGAAGATTGGGCAAGTGAATGCGTTAGTGGAAAATGGATTAGAGGTATATCTTAAGTTATTAGGAATTCTATTAGTTGTTGTTTTGATGTTTGATGCGGTTGTTATTTTTTTATTAGACTTCTATTGTTTTATGAATTGGCTATCAATATATATATATATATATATATATATATATATATATGGGTAGAGAAGTGAATTGTGAGTTTTTTTGCCATGATCAAGCTTCCATTATTTATTGTGAGAAGTTGCTCCCACTTTTGGATTTAATATAAAATTAATTTGATGTGGCATGGCTCATACTATTGAAATAAAGTGTTGTATGTTTGAGGTAGATATTGGTATGGTCTCTAGAAGATTAAGATGGCAATGAATTCCTTGTCATGTATAGTTGTTGTTGATTGGACTATAAACATAATTATTGTGAGTGAGTTCATGAGAGAAATATTCAATATATTTTCTTCAAACTTCATTAATCTTGAAATCAAAGCTTTCTATAAATCTTGTTAGTAGAAGGATTCTAAAATTTTTATACACGACTTGTGGTGGAATATCCTACAAAGTTATCTCTGGTACTTTTTGGGATCCATCTTTGTACAATTTTTTTTATTAATAAAAATCTACAATAAAGCTCAAAAAACCTTATAGTATTGTAGAAAAGATTTACTACCAAATCTTATTTCATACGATGTTCAATTATTGAGTTGCTTATTAACCATATAATTAAGAAAATAAACTGTAGTATGTAGTGCTTCTACCTATAGTTTTGTTGGAAGTTCTCTTGCAAATAATAGGCATTATGCCATTTTGAAAATAGTTCAATTATCTCTTTTCATGTACTTATTTTATTGTGATGTATATGCAATATTAGTTTGTCAAATAATATGATTCTCATTCAAGGACATTACAAAACTTATACCTTTTGTCTATGTATAAAGCTTATACAATGTAATCAATATCATGTATAATAAGTTAAACAACTTGTTTATAGAAAAGAAGAGTTTCTAATTTTTGTGTAGTAAAATACATAAAGCAATATGTGGGTGTGTTGTCTTTGTACAATATACAATAGAAAGATCCATTTAAAGAAGATGTAATAGCTTTCTTGTCTAATACATTGCCATGAATAGGTTGTTTAAGGTATATACTGCAGATTTTGTGTAGATCATGTTTATAGATGCTTTTTTGTTATTTGTCTTTATGCACCCCTCATTAGGATGTAATAACAATTGATGAAATTTAAGTTTAAAATCTTGAAGACTACAATGTCAACTCATATAATGAATGGTAGGTACATTAATATGGCCCATTTTTTTGTGCTAATGTTGCATATCAAAATATGAACTTGATGTAGGGAGAGAGAGTGTGAATTCACAAATGAAATATTTGTTGATATTAGGAGTACATCGCCAATTGGTAGTAAGAATTTCAAATCTTGATTTAAATGGTGCAAAGATATGATTTGTATAAAGAATTGATAAATTTTGTTAGATTGAATTCCTTCAAGAACTTTCTTGTTTATCTTTGTTCAAATTTCACATTGACTTAGAAATATTATAAAAAAAAGATAAAAAATAAAAAATAAATGTCTTTTTGAAATAAGGCCAATAAAAAAGAGGTTCTTTTTAAATTTAAAAACGTATAAAATATTTCAAATGATGCCCTCGTATTGTTGTCCATCAATGACACATAATATTTTAATATTTCCTTTATTGTATATCCATAGCTTTGTATTATCAACAAAGTGGATAGTATGTAGCCTTCAAGAATTTCTTAAATGGAATCAAACCATTTTGTCCAATCAATCATATGCTCACTTGCACCACTATTGGCATACCAAATGTCAATAGATTTTTTAGCAATATAAGCATGACTTGATAAGTAGTGACGATAAAAGCAAAGTCATTGTTTGAATTAGATTTGGAGTCTTCATTAGATGTTGAAGCTATTGAGGCTTTCAGCAGGATTAGCATCGCTCATGCCACTGTCTCACTTCTTAAGTCTTTGCTAGAGTTTTTTTTGGTCATGATGCAGTTATAGCATTTGGTTTGTGACTTAAGATCGCTGATGTAGGTAATATCCTTTTGAAAGGACATATAGATAATATATTAGATCTGATGAAGAAAGCATGATTGGCTTCTAAGTCACCTTAGAATAGGCTTTCATGACGAATAAGCCTCTCCTCAAGCAATCAACAGTTTGTTCTTTGTCTGAGACGTTAGACCATGCGGCAATAATACTATTGTAACTTGAAGGAAGACTATGAAGAATTTTAGATATAATTATTTTTTGAGGCACACTATGACCAAGATGACAGTATGACCAAGATCTGCAAGAATCGTAGTCATATCGGTAATATTCTGAATGTGTGTTGATATATCATCTGTTATTTGCATACTGTAATTGAAAAACTTACCCTAAAGTATGAAAATACTTTCTGGCGTTTTCTTAAGATGTAATGAACACAATTTTTTGCCACATCGTTGCTGTAGTAGAACATGTTGTAAGTTTCCTGAGAATCTTTTGTGTAATCGATTTACTAATAAATATTCTTGCGTTTGCATTCTTTTCATCCCAAGTTTTGATAGCTAGATCCTCATCAGCAGAAGTATGAGTTGAAGATGGTACAGGGCGCTTCGCAAGGCCATGGACAACGTGCAATACTTTCTTTGCTTCGAAAACTATCTCCATGTGATATTTCCTTAATGAAAACTGATGACCATCAAAAAAATTAATTGCGAATTTGTCTTGCTTATCCATGATGGACATAATAATGTGATACAGACTGCGGGAGACTGACGTTTGAATGTTCTTGCGGTTCTTAAAAAACTAGTAACAGAGTTATAACACTGAAAAAGAAGATTCAGAAGACTAAGTTGTCAAAGATTATTGACAGAAGAGTAACATGTTGTAACTCAAAATATTGCATAGTGTACATGCGATTGTGGGCCCATAACCTAAAAGGAAATAAAGGACTTATGCACACAGTCTTTCATGAGATGTATCTTTATTCAAGAAGCAGAGTCCAGAAACAATTCTCTAGTGACTGAAAGATGATCACTCTCTATTGACCTTTCTACGAACTAAACAACTATGACATGCTGGAACTCAACATATAGGCTCGCCGAAGATCCCTGGATGGATGTATGAAGAATATCATGGATGTCTCATCCAACAAAGCACGTAGCAGCATCCAACGTTGACAGTTCCACCAGTCCTAGCAACTACGGGATGAACACACCGCAACTTGGAATCAGACTTCTGTCTCAAGCGCAAGGGGCGAAAGAGCCTGACGATCTAACACCCGTAGTTACTGCAGTTTTCACTGAGATGATTCATCCCAGTGCAACCACCGTTGTCGCAACCCGAGGTGTAACGCTCGAAGTCTAGATTGTGACATCCACGTGAAAGGATGGCGTGGTTGGATTAGAGCCCATGCATCGGCGATACCAGAGAGCTGGTCCGAGAATCTAGGAGTAAGGAAACGGTGGTCCGCGCAAGACTAGGCTGGAGGGATTGAGCCCGTCTGCGGCGCCGACGAACCTCCGGCGCCGCCCCTTGCTCCGCAGAGCACGCGACGGCGCTCCACTGTCTCCTCATCTCCGACGAATCCCGTTTGAACGGACGAACATGCTCGTCGGGAGCATCTTCATTCCGTTTACGTTCGGCCGCCCGGGTATTTAGCTAGTTTTCACAAGCTCTGGACCAGCACTCACAAATTTGAACAAGAAGCCTTTCTTTTTGCACCTTAATGCTTCAAACTTTGATTGATCTGATTCGATTGAGTGCGTGCAACCAATTTGACTTTACTGAGAGTGTTCTAAAATATATTGAATAAATTCTAGAAAGTTTTTTGTTAATTTCCTAAGTATTCCAACAATCAAATATCCAAGTGTAAACTATTTTAGACTGCAAACGTATCTTCTTCTTCTTTTTCATAATCTTTTAGTGAAGATATGTTTTAAGTACTGCCAACATCCGATCAAGTCCTTGGGGATGAGTTCAGTGAGACGCGATGTAAAAATGGTTTGCTAAGTGTTCGTCCTTCCAATGTGGAGAGGGCGTACGAGTACAATGTTCCTGGAGCTGTTGTACACTTTACAGGGACTGGAAAGATTGCCGGTTTGTTCTAAGCTCATCATCCTCAGTGGTGTTGCATTACCTAAGCCTTCTTCGTACTCTCCTCGTGTCGTTTGGCTAGAAGGTTACAATCATTGCTTCCCTGGTTCCTCCCTCGTAGTTCAGAATCCCTTCCACTACCTGTGTAACGCTATACTTCATCTGTGACAGGCCTAAAGAAACATCTGATTACTAAGTGGCTAGAAGTCCATTTGAATCTTTACACATCTGCACATAGGTCAGTAAAATGAGTCAGCCCCAGTTCGGGTATCTCGAGAGAGCATGGATCGGGCTTCGGCTACAGATCGAGGGGGCTCAAAGTCTTTATCTTCCAGTGCACGCCCTTGTAGTCTTTGCATTTGTGCGGCAAAGATATCATCTAAAATCTGCAAATAAGTACAGTGATAGCCACTTAGCCGATTACGAACAGGGATATACACCCAAACGAGGGATCCAGTTCCATTCATTGACAATTGGAGGGGCGCAAAGAACTTACCCCAAGGGCAATCGTCGTGCTTTTATACCAAAGCTTGTTTGCTTTCTTGCTCTCTAGAAACTGGAGTACATCCTGAAGGAAAATATTTACGTGTTAGGGTTCGTATAATTGTCATATACGTAACCCACAGCTACCATGACGAACGAGCTAGCAAAATTTGAAGATACCAGTTTAGTGAGTACACAAACCATAAATTTAAGGAAAAGGGACTAACAGAAATGAGAGCAAGAAATTGAGCACTAGTTTTTTTCGCAGTTAACAAATGCATTGCACTTTCCATGCACAATCATCTGACCGAGAGTATTCACTACAAATAGTTCATAGCTGGAAAAAACACGTACTCGCGCCGTTCTGTCCCAATATCCTCGGCACACAGCAACAAAGACACGTGGCGTGAACACGTCATGTAGATGTGAGATTGTTTCTTCTAATTGAGCTGTCAGTGGTTGCATACGTTCACGGATATCCGATGCACCCCCCGCTCCTCTGGTGCCTTGAAGTATCCTCTTCAATTTAGTAGAATTCTGCAGACGTGCCTGTATCCAACAAGTACATAATAGTAAATATACACGGTGGAGGTGCAAGTTGGCCAGACTGTGAATTGAACTCGATTGAATGACATCAGATTATTATGGCTACTCACATTTTCTGCTAGTTTTTCTACAAGTGCGTGTAAGTAGTTCTTGTATTTAGCACGCAGCTCGATAGTAACTTCGTTATGCCGCTCCCCAACCACAGCTCCACCTTGCACAGCACCTTCGGGCAAATAGGCAGCCCAAGTCTTCAATTGAGTCTCAATCTTTGGACGCAGCGTGTCCAACAATCGCTTGATACTATTCACCATCACCCCTAACTGTGACAAATGCCCCATTTGATAAGTTAATACATATTCAGCCAAAGGAGACGTAGGATGTCAATCCGACATCTCTAGCTATGCCAAATGGTAAAGAGCAATAGACGGGCAATGGTGTACCTGGACCGGTGCATTATATATTACAGGTTTCTGGCGCCGAGTGAGCTTCTGCATGTACTGCAGACCAAATTTTTTGGGCACAAGGAAATCCTTTAGAGGCGCAAGCACGTCAGCGTTTTGCTTCTCCAAAGTGGCAAAAACTGCCCTCTCGACGTCTGCCATCGCCTGACATCTCACGAATGCAGAGAAAACTCAGAACATGTCAGAGGATACAAAGCCCAGTTCACACATCCAACTTACGGTACTGACAATACATATCATTAAATCTGATGTGCCGGACACCAAAGCTGCAGAGGAAAACGCGTCACATACTAACGTATGAATTCGTCTACAATGAGAGGATATGTTGACATTGATGGACACAACTTACATGTTCCAAGGGTAAGGTATACTCCGGCCACCGGTGAAGAATGACTTCATATTCATTCAGCGTCTCCTTGATACGTTCGTACACTTCTTCCACGAATGAAGAGGTATTATGTTGTGTAGTTATCAATGTGCAACGTTCCTGTGTTGAAGATACAAACCCAGCGTTAGCCACAAATTGATTTCTAGGCTCCTGTCGGAACTGTTCAAGACCTCACACCAGAGTCGGACCAGGGATAGGTAGTCACTTTATCAAACTTGCAAAACTCCAAAAGCTGTAGGCGCTTGTCTTGAATCCAAAGTACAACGTACAGGTGGAACAGCTCCTTCGCGTCCACTCCTATACGTAACCTGAAACACAGTTCACATCAGTCCATGAGCATGAGCATGAGTCTTCTGACCTGAAGAAACATCTGTCTTTGTAGTACCATTCTAAGAAGGCATATTAACATCTTTGAGATGGAATGTCTTTGTGTTATGTTCCAGTCAACAAAAGCCGATAAAATTATTCAATTCAATTTCACCTGATGCCCCATGAACTCAGATCTCGTTCAAAATCTGCGGTAGCGAGCATGAGATCCGTCACAGGAGGTAGTGGAGATGATGGCGGGCAAGCCACCAAGAATGTGCGTAATCGGTTAGCCAACTCAACACCGTAGATCTCTGCTGTTAAGTTCGGAAGGTCAATTGAACTGCAGCAAATAGAGAAAGGTTCAGTCAGTCATGAACAGTACTCACTAAGGAAACTGCGTCCTAATAGATTCCGCATGCTTGATGACGACAAACTGCGTTTCCCAATGCACACTGAAGCGGAACAACGTTTTGATATGAAATGAAACCGCTTACCTGGGAAGAACGTCTTTATTGTGAATCTCAATATCAGTGCGTATTTCGTTGCTTAGACTCAGGCATAGGGTTTTCATCTTTTGATAAGCAGTTGACATACTCAGTGTATCCATCAAGAACCCTTCGCTACTGTTCATGTACTCGTCAGTTTCTATCATAAGCTTGCTGCACCTCTTCCAGGCACCAGCCTGCACGAAAGCACATAAAAATCACTAATGGTCATCGCAATGTTGCAAGAACGTGCTTCTATACCAAACGACGCTCTGACGTCATCTGCACTCTCTAACAGTACTTGGGAGTACGGAGAGAGATGTCTCCGCCAACGTCAAAAATGGACGAAAACTGTTGTTGAAACATGCATATCTTAGTATGGTGGGCCTTTACATCCAGTGATGGTATTGAGACAACTCACCTTGAAATAATTACGCAAGGTACATTGAGCCTCCACACTGAGGATGTCATGCATCAAGGTGAAGAGTTTCATAGCAGGAACTAAAGCAGGAGCTACGGCACCAGTCGGATGTGAGAAGGTCTCTGACAGACCAGAGGTGGAAGCTTCATCGAGAGCCTTGTAATTTTCAAAAGTTAGGCATAGAAGCTGCTGTACCTGCTCTTCAACTTCGACCAAAATTCGCTTCTGCATTTAGCAACCTTGTCAGCTACTGTGGTGTACAATGTATGACCCACCGCAAGGCCTCATCGGGCAGAAACTCAGATAAGAAAAACTGATCGGTTCTGATTTTTAAAAATGACGATACGTATCCGATAAAGAACTTGGAACGCTATTGACATGTTTTCAGAAATCATAGATTGCCAAGCTACCTCTTGTCGGTTGAGAGAATTCTCGTCGCGAGCTTTGATAATGGGTTCAAGAAGTTCGTGGATAAGCACCAAACAGTCCTCCGTTGGTGTAGCAATCTCCATGATGCAAGCCAAATATCTGAAAGGGGACATGACCAACCCTGCTATCATTCCTTGAAAAAGCGTTCTACATATACTAGCATATACATTAGGAGGTGCTGATGGCTGTGCTTTCTAAAGATGTGGTTAACATCATGAGTCGGCATTCACTCAAGATAGACTCGTTCGTACCTTAATTTGGTGTATGATTCTGATACACCATAACAAGGGGCAAATTCGCCGAGCAGCCAAACCCAGGAACCTTGCAGCCGTAAATTACGACGTTGAAAGTGTTGCACTCGCATTGCCACATCTAGCACTATATCATAAGCTCTTGTCTCTCCAACAGGACCCCACTGCACTCATAGCATATACCAACATATCTATAGTGTCCTCCCGGACGAGCAAGATGTACGCAGAAAAGTAAAAAAAAGTGCGGAAATTCAAAACTTCCGCAGACATGAGAAAAGTTTTGAGAGACAAGGTGTCAGAAACCTTAGTAGATGATTCAGGCGATTCCGTATTGTGTTGAAGAAATAATTGAATCTTCCCCACGCAGCCGTGCTCCCCATTGTCATATATTCCATACCAGCGCACTCTGTCGTTCTGCGACCAATTGCATAGTATGAGAAAAAGAAATTGAAAAAGAATAAAGATACCAGAATGAAAGGTATTCACATATTCACATGTCAAATGCCTGGAACTTTTAGAATTCGTGTAATTGCGCTGGAAGAACGGAATTGAGCACAAACCAGGTCATTGCAAATGGTTGCAATAGGAATATGTAAACGGCCCTGAAAAATTCCGTGGGAATCGTGAATCTCCACAAGTAGCTCATCTACTGAACTCTCCGGAAGCCTGCGGATGATCACAAAGTAGAGATGAAATCAGGCATGTCGAGCGGAGATCAGCAAGATCGAACACAGGCAAGAGACGTCACCAGTGAGGGAATCTGTTTGACTTACAAGACAATGACATCAGTGTGTCCAGGTTGAACTCGTGCTGATTCTTCCTCTGGCGAGCTCTTCAACTTCAACAGACAGGTAAAATTTTCTGTCACAGACATTAAAAAGTGAGGCAAGTTGGACTTATCATGATTCATATTCGTGTTCCATACCAGTCAAAGAAGTTAACATTTTCTGCCGCACCCAGTGTTCACTAATATATCAATCAAATGGAAACATACCTTGCGATGAGTCGTTAATAGCATTCAGACGCAGGCTGTTGACCTTATCCTTCAGGAGTCCAGACATCTGACGCATATATTGAGCGCCAGCATTGACGTATGCCAAACTACGTTGACCAGAGGTATGTCCACGGTGGACAGGCTTGTTGGTTACAATGCGAATTTTCCTCACTGACATCAATAGTGTAAATATTTTTAGTCTGACAATCACTTGGACGATTCCTGGAGTAGCAACAAAAACCAGCATTTGAAGTACTGTCACAGAAGCAGAATATGATATTTGCCCCACTGGGAGTTAAGCGAAACCATCAATTCTCTCACTGTCTCTGAATTAAGTCTGGTCTGCCATGGACTTGGACCAGGCAGAACCAATGTAACATACCTTGAATTCTCACTTGGCCACTAGTGATCTTCGGCTTTGCAGCTACGGCAACTTCCACATCCCCACTTGCTCCTTTCCTCGAGCCTTCTTCCTGAGGCTGCAGTAGAATCTGTGTAAGTCTGCATGACACCTACCGCAGTTAATTCCTTGATTCGAACACTTGATAACAGTTCCTACACAAGTTCAAAATAGGGTACAGGAGAGCGAACTTTCATGCAGATACCAATGCACCTCATATTAGTACAGGAAGTTGGACATCACAAGTAAACAAGGCTGGTCATCTCACCCGAAACAGTCTCTCAGCAAAGCGCATTCATCTCGGAGAAATTCAGGCGCCTCCGAGGATCCACGTGACCATGCCCTCAGACATAAACGCACACAAGCATCGTACGCTATCATTGATTGCCATGCAGCTTGACCGCTACATCCAACAGGGTGTCATGTTAACAATTGCGGACACGATGCCAAAGAGAATCGCGAAACAGAGACTACATCAGGTATTCTAGGTGTCGTGGCTCCTATGAGTTGGAAATCATTTAAATAATGCGTGGACACATGCGGCGTGCGACAGTGAAAGCAGAGTATTCATAACTCATCAAAACTAAGGCCTAGCCATGCTGCATAACTTAGATGATGAATATGAGATAGTTTAATATCTCCACCTGAGAAAGACTGGATTAGCGAGGGGCGCAGAAACTGCCGGATGTACGCATGATACACCCGCCTTCTCAGTAACCATTGTCGACGCAGATCTGCACAATACCTGTGAACTTTAATTTCAAGACAGTTGTTGCGATGCCACGGCATTACAAGACAATTCTTCCAGGGAGTCATGTGAGCCATCTCCATGAAATGTATTTACTGTGCGGCCGGAAGCTTCGGTGCTGAACTTGCGTGTCGCCAAGGGGGGCAAATGAGTGTTCACCTCATATTGGTCTCCAAACGCCGAGTTGGAGCACTCTGCGGGACCGCAGCCGCATCATAGCTGAATGCAGTATGCGCAGAATACGTTGGGGTAGTAGGGGATTGCTGAATACATAGGTCCTCAGCGGGTTCCAAAACCATCTCGTCGAGCATGGGGGGTGCGCTTGGTGGCCCAATAATGCCATCTGAATGACTGCGTCGCAATACCCTCGCATCCTGTTCATTTTAGTTCATAAATTAGTGTCATCGCCACTCATAAGGCAGTAGCACGAGACATTTTCAAATAACCGTTAGATGCCATGCTCGGGGGAGAATTTCCACATCGGAAACCTTTCATCGTCGAACCAAACGCTGTACGAGCATGACAATACCACATAAATTCACGACAATGATATTAACTTTCAGGAAGAAGTTAATACGGACAGGTCAACACGCACAGGACTGTGGGTCGTACGTTAGAAAATCTATAAATTCCAACTTGGGTGCGCTAGACATTTATGAGAAAAGAGTGAGCACCTTCTCCTCCGTATCAGGCTCCGAGAGCCACTTACGTGGTGGGGAGAGAGTAAGTGCAGGAGCAGATAATTTCGCAGGTTTTGTGCTCTTTTCCTGAGAATCAACCTGCGCAAAGCCAGTGAATGGTTATGCGACAAATCCTCAAGGAACATTGTCAACAATGTAGGGAAATCACGAAACCTGTAAGGCCCCTAAAGCATGGAAGTTCTCTAAAATACACCTTGCAGGATAAACATCGGATCACAATATGAAAAACAGAACTAGATCGCACGTACGTATCTAACCAGTCCTGAGTCTGAACTCAGTCTGAGACGAGCGAATGCAGCAGGACCCTCCAGGGAGGCACGATATGGCTCCCAACCCGCTGCACTATCTTCGTCGTGGCCGTCGTCTGGTTCCACGAGGCTCGCTGCTAAGTCCGAAAGATCAGTGTCAGACGTTAGATCGCCCTCATCGACATGTGCCCGCGGTGCACTTGGACCATTACTCGCAGGTGTGTCTTCGGTTTTGTACTCTGCCTTAGTTTTTCCATCACCTTGACATATTCCACTCAAGGCAAAGCTGTCTAACCGATCAAGGTTTTCCTTTCCTTCTACACTAACTCTCCATTCCTTTCCTTCCTTGCGACCATAGCTGCCTGGTCCGAAACTACCCAGTTTACTGAAGCTTTCCCTCCTGGACAAAGAGGGATGTCGATCGCCATGGTTTCCCACATCAAGTTGCTGACCTTTCTTGGGGTTCCAATTGCTTTTAACTTCTTTCAGAGTGTAGTCATTCATACGACTAGAAGCGTTCTGGGAGTACCCGAGGTTGTTGGTAGAAGTTGAAGATGGTGAGGAAATAGGTGAATAATGACCAGAATCCTGTTCATCTCCAGACTCACAATCATCTTGAATGGGGTTACCAGTTGATATAGATCCCACGCTCTCCTCCAAATCGTCTATACTGTGTGTAGCGCACTCTAAAGAAGAATGATTCTTCGACTGGTCGGAATGAATATGAATTCGCGACAGTTGAGGAGGGGGCAATGCTCTACCTTTTACCGAAATTAAACGACTTGGACGAGGGCGGTCACGACGACTTTCATCAGGGCTGCCCAGGATAGGATGACTTGCATTCCTGGTCTGTTCCTGCAAAGCAATTATTTGGTTAGATCCGTTGATCATTTATACGTTAAGGTGGATGAAAGTGTGAGGCTTACCACGAGGGCTGGCATCATTTCTTCTACAAAACAGAAGGAAAAATAATGAAATAAATGATAACTAGTTCCTTTAACATTTGTATTATACTATTGATTTTATAAAATTGCATTCTGTGATGTGCACACCTTTCAACTCCTGAAGAATGAATTCCCGACAATCCAAAGTGGAAAACGTTCATAAACTTGAAGCATGAGTTGACATAACACTAGCTGAGGCAGAGCATGTACCTTGCGAACCCATTGGAGAGCACCTGTGTCGAGTCCATCGGTAAACATTGTTGCCCTGTGGTCGCAATGGGCAAACCCAGTGGACCTCTCTGTACTTGGCACTAACCGAGTAGTGTTCAAGAATGTAATAACTGCTTCATATGTCTCCGCATGCAGCTTCCACTGTGTCCACAGAACTTTTCGCTATGTTAATATGCCTCAAATGGTGGATTCCCCGACGATTACCAGCTCCTACCTGTATGACTGAGTAGTCATAAAAGAGCAAACCGATTCACTGCAGCCTTGGACGTGGCCTCTCTGTCATCAGAGATAACTCCTAGAAGCGGCTCGGAAAGTCCAATCGCACAAGCGCCTACTGCAATACAACACCAGGGAAAAAGTCTCTGTCGACTACATTACTCCACATTCACGAAAAATAACTCAACCGCAAACGCAGCACGAGAAACGTTTCAAAATTAGCCCAACTACCTCGATTTTATCACTCGAAGCGCACAGCGAACATGGATCACTCTCCAATATCAAAAACACCTCAAACAGTAACAAAAACATACCACAGCTCTCAACTCCTCCAAAGCTCGCATTCCGGCGCAAGCGCTATCCCCCCAAGAGATTCAAGAAGCAGGAGCAGCGGCCACTGCATCAAAGGCAAGAACAAACTCAAACACACTACTACACTGCGCTCCGAGGCCTGGAATGCCTCCCAATTCAGACGGATTCACGTCAAACAAGCGCAATAAATTCCTCTTCGCCAATACACAAGAAGATCGAGGCATTCAATATCAATGCAGCACCTCACGACGCGATCCAACAAAATCACGATTCTCGGTCTCGGCTCAGAATCACTGGAACAAGGAGAGATTGGTGGGCCGAGGTCAGGCGGGGCCGGGTCATGGAGGGGGCGGGACAGTTCCCCTAGTGCAAAACCGCGCGGGTGGAGGAGGTGGAGGGCCGGGTGCCAATATGAACGGGCAACGGAAACCTGGCCTCAGTGAAATGCACTCAATCAACCACTACATGGGTGTGGGGGCCCTCCTAATGACCGTTAGCCATGTGCTTTTCTTACTTGTCCCACGAAACGGACACTGGGGTCGAGGGGACGTGTTCACACTGGGCCACGTCCCTCCACCCAGAGGCAGCCGAGGAATAATTTTCCGAGCCCAATCATTGACCGGAAGCTCATAGTCGCACACCCCTTTCACGTTTGGCGCCCTTTTCTTTCCTTTTCAAACTCTTTCGTCATCATTGGGATTAGTATCACGTTTTGATTTTTGAATGTTATTCTTATTATTTTGGGTATGTATGTATTCCAATACAAATACATACATCTGCATATTATTAGTATTATTATTATTATACATATATATATATATGGACCATTAAATGATGAGATAATATGCAAAAATAAAATTGATACTGTTTAGCACCAGTATTGTAATTAGGGTTTTATCTTTTACATTGGATAAATGCAAGGAATGCACTCTTCAAATAAAATAAAACATTTGACAAAAATATTCTTATTTGAAAAGATAATAAGAATATCCAAAATAATCCTTGTATATGTCTTTGCAAAAGAACTTGATTGGTATTTTATCTCTAATCTTGTGGTTGGTGAAGCTAATGAATGGCTACGTTTTTAAATATGAAATTTTATTTATTTCCAATAGATTTTATTATTATTATTATTATTATTATTATTATGATTATTGTTGTTGTTGTTGTTGTTGTTATTATTGTGTTTTAAAGAATTAGGTAATTATAATTTATTGAATTAAAAAAACTACATGATAAATAAATTAGATTTAGCTTTTAGGAATAAACTTTAATATATATTTTAAATAAGTGAAAAGATGAAAATTAAAACATACCTAAATATATGTATTTTTGACAAGAATTATAATTAATTTAATCTATAATTATCAACATTTTCCTTTTGGTATTTAGTTTTGTTATATTATTAAAAAAAACTTTGAATTTTAACTTCACAACTTAAATTCAAGAGTAATTGAGAATATTAAAATAGAAGATATTTTAAAGACATACTTTAAAAGAAAAATAGGAGATTAGTTGAAATTTACATGATTATAGTTTTATTTTTTTGTTTTATTTTTCTTATTCATTAATGTCCATCTTAAAGTCTGTATATTCATTCCAATCATTTATAAAAACTTCTATTTCAGTTTGAAACAAACTTACACTACTAAAAGATAGCAAGTTGTATCCAAGTATGTAAGATAACATCAAAGAGATTGGTGGTTCAAATCCTAATCAAAAAACCACAACCATGCTTAATAGAACCTTGCTTAATAATGCCGTGTATGAAGACTTTTGAAAACATATTTGATAAAATAAAATTCGAACTTCGAAATCTATACAACTATATAAGAATATATATTTCTTGCATTATACATAAACAATTTTCAAACATAATTGAAACTTTTTTATAAAAACTCACAACATTTAATGACAAATGACTGTTAAAAAGAAAACAATGAGAACAAATAACAAATATAACTAACACATCAATATGCATAACATAGTTCATTTAAGTAGTTTTCATTCAATCTTAACTATTCAACATGGATGGTTACAAAAATGCTTCCCTTCTTGCATAAGAGGATTTAACTCAACCAGGAATGAGGATGCAATTAACCAAAAAAATGGCTTGGTGATGGCACTAAGAATTTGGTGTGAAACACCAAGAACACCTACTTGTAAAGCAAATTGTTCTTCAAGGATCAAGCCACAAACCCTCAAAGCAAAACTTGAAACTTAAGATGCTAACTAATCTCCAATTGAAAAACAACTCAGCATCAAGTGCCAAAGATTATACTCCATCCGAGGAGGGCAAACCCTAACATAATTGTTACAATGATAAGTCCAACATGTGTTACATTGAGCCTTAAAAAGAGGAAAATGACCACTTAATAGACAAGTCCACCAGGAAAAATAATTTAATTGACTCTTTGATCAATACCTCTTCTTCTTCCTTTCAAATGTTGCCGATATTCCTGTCGCAGCTGTGAAGCTTTTGTCGTCTCTATGATGACTGGCTGGTCTTCGAGAGCTATGGGCTCGTCCACTCTGGGTGTGATACGCATTGGGTGTGCCTCAGTATTGAACACCCACTCGTCCAGTGGAATCACAGTGGAAGGAGAAAATAAAAGGTAGAGATACTTGAGGGTCTCTGCCAGGAAGAAGGTTTGCATCTTGTCATCCTTTTCGCCTGTATTTACCTGAATACACATGGCCGAGAAATCGCACACAAGTCTCAGATTCTAAAGAAAAAAAGGATACTTTTTCAACATCTCACAGGCAATCTTAGGCTCCGCACAAATAAGCAGTTCTAGGTTACAGCCACAAAACAGTACTGATATGTTGTTGGTTGATTGATAGATGGCAGGTCATACAACTTATCCAGATCCTGTTGCCTAAGACAAGCTCACTCAAACAATTTGACGAAAATAAAATAGTTCCAAAGGAGAGACATGAGAGGCCCCAAGAATTTACATCTCTTAAGCCAGTGTAACCCGTAGGTAGCTTTGTTTGAGTTTCAAAGGCTTGAAATATGTCCCATCCCCAATCCCGATACTTCTGGTCACCAGTCTTGCGCCATAAATACATAAACGACTCAACAGTTTCAGGCCTCATTATGTTCCACGATGTCCCAACTTGCATTCTCTGTGTGCTCCCACGTACTGGTATTAGCCGCAGGGTCATCATGTGACATGCAGTTCACATCATACATAGAGATGGAAAACAACAATAATAACAATCATAACCAATAGGATAAGCAAATCGTGCTATAAGAACAAAATCCATTTTTGAGAGGGCAGAAAAACAGAGAAAGGGGCTCAGGCAAATAGGGACATCTCATAAAACTTTTAGAGAACTCAACACCATGAAGGAATGGAGGCTCACATTGTTAAAATTGTAGTTTTCCCCAGCTAGTTTCGAATTAGTCATCCTATACATGTTATAACATGTCTTGGCAAGCTGCACAATAAAAGGCCAAGTCAGGAATGGCAATCAAAAAATCATGAGATTGGTATCGTACAAAACTTATAATATACTGTATATGGTTTTAGAAATGACGATAGATGCCTACGGGTGCTTGCATTGATTACAATCTCTAAAAAATCAAGTGAAAGCTAACTACCTCCTGGGCAAGATTAAGATATTCATCGGCTTTTTGAGGCGTTGCTCCATCTGTGCCAAGAACCAGCATCCCTGGTACGAAACACGCCAACTCGTCCATCTGCATCACTTAAATTTATTTAACGAAGCAAAACTTTATAAAGACTCTCCCAGAAACAAGACTTCTGTAAATGTAGGACAAAGAAACCGAACAAAAATCTGCCTAATGTCTTTGACAAAGAGGAACAATGTCATGGAAGCGTGAGGTCCCTACCCCACTTCAAACAAAGCATCAACTTTCCATCAGATAAGTCAGACACAGCAGATTACCTTATCTATCATTTGATTACCAGCTCGTTCTGCCAGATAAGTGTAACCATCTGAGCTTTTCTTGACCAGACTCTTCATGCCTTCCATGGATTGCTCCCACATTTCTCTACAAATAAAAAGAAGAATTTATTTAAGAGCAAGAGCACAAGCCCACACAAGCATATACCCAGTATAGTTTCACAACTGTGTGTTCATTTGGAGAGTTCCTATTTCTTTTAGAAATGTAGGTAGAAAACCCCAGTGACCATGGCAGGTACCTGTAATGCTTTACAACCTCCGTCTTGTTTCCCAGGACCCAAACCTTCAGAAGATATTCATAAAAACTGGCAACAAACAAACACAGTTGAGAAAGGTTAACCTGTATGGTCAACACTGGACTAGGTTGTCTTCAACATCAATAGAAAACTACAATATATTCTGGCACCAACACAAACATGTCGATCATTCCATGAGATACTTATTGATCAAACACCAAACAGATGTGAGAAAGTGCTCAATAAGGCTATACCTATCCCCCATAGCTCCAAAGGTTACCTTGCCACCATGATCAATCTGACCGGAATCAGGGCTGATATAATACGGTAAAAGGCCATCACTGGGGAACACCTTCTTGAGCTGAATGATAACTCTCTCAGCCTAGTCATAAAATATACGACATTAGTTAACGAACTATAACCAGCGACTAGGTCCAAAGAAAAGAGGCAACATGACCCATCAGAACCAATGCAATAAGGGGCACTTCTGCAGCAGTTAAGACAAAACGAGCTGCAGGTAGCTCAGAAATGTGGACGAAGTGAAGATTGCTGATGGTGTGTGTATGTTAAGAAGAATCGCAGCCACAAGGAACTTCATGAACAACTAAGTCGCGAAAACGTAACACAGCAAACCTTTTCTTTGTATTTTGATATATTTGTCCGCTGTGTCAATGCAATGAACTCCATCTGCTCCGTACCTAAATCGGCCAATATGCTATTACCCTGCACGGAAAGTTAAAAGACTTTTGTCAAAGCCAGGGAACAAAAAAATAATTGAACCAAAAAATCAACAAATCAATAAAAAGAAATGAAAAGAAGAAGCTGAAGAGGAAGAGAGGGGAAAAGGAAACAAATAACAAAGCATTAAAGACTTCGGAATCGGATGATACTGCAAAGTTCAAGACACCATTCACATCTTAAGATGGTTTAAGTTGTATACCCCAGACCAACCCGGGGAGTTAGAATCTCCTGTTGCTAAGTTGATAGAGCCGTAAGGGATGCCTGAAGGAGTATTCCAAGCAGGCAGCAACCGGTCTGTTATTTGCTGGGCTTTCTTCAAAAACATTGGTTCACCAGAGAGATCATACGCACTCAGCAACCCTCCCAGAACCCTGAGTAACATATGATGAGATTAGATCATGCTAAGCAGAAACAAATCAGTGACTTGGAAATGAAGCACGCTTCCTTTAAGTCTCTTTAGTCGATTAAAGACCAGCATCCATAATAAGCTGATAGGAAAGAGCAGTTGGTAACTATCACACTGCCCGAAAACATTATCCAGTATGAGGTTCCAAAAGCCATCTCACTTGTACACTAAAGGTGACGTATGCTGCTAACCGAAAGAAAAGTCAAAATTTATTCTCGGCGATCTGATCACTATTTGCAACAGAAGTCAAGCCAAGAACCAATGAATCCACTATTCTGCAAGATCTGGTAATTACCTGATGGTGGTCTCAAAAACACTAGTGTGCACGTCTTTATTGAAATCAAGATTTTCCGCCACCCAGCTGAAATAAGAGTTCCATTCAAAAGTTCAACTTCAGAACCGGAACGATGCAAATTTAATGCAATTGTAGACCTATTGAATTTAGAACAGGTAGATACGTCTACACGAGGTTATAATCAGGGAATATTAGATCCCAAAAACTTACTCTCTTGCTTTGTTGTATTCTTTCTTTAAACCCATAATGTATAGAGTATCTAAGGAATCTATGATGGTTGCTCCCAGCCCGGCAAACGAGTTCTCCCCAGTCTTGGATTGCGGCTATGCGACATCCATTGTAAAACCATATCAGAACAGAGATTGTATTTTCCACATAATTCTCAACATAAGAATTGCTAAAGCACTAACAATACGTTAGACTTCCGACTACCATATAAAACAGACATGAGAAGCCTAACAATTTATCATCTTTTGTATACTATTATGCCAATCTTTAGGTTAACGGCGTTGGCAACAAGGAGACAAGTTTGGAGAAAGAGAATTAAAGAACGGTACACTTTGGTCCTGAGTATCTGACACACTAAAACACCTACAAAGGAATATATATTCCAAGTCACACTGGCTATAGCATCAAATTAACTGCAGGCTTTAAGACGCAAGAGCCTGTGTATAGTTTACAGACCTTAAGTTCATCCATGCCCCAGGCATACTTCTCATAGCAAGTCCAAGCATGTAGCATAGCAGCCTTGACCTTTTCACGCCTTTCAGCCATAACTGGATCCTCATCAGTATCAGATACCGGCGGCTTTCTCTTATCAGGAAGCAAGCGCTGGAAAAATCCCTTTGTGTTGCTCTGCCCACTGACCTTAGTTCCACTCTTCTCATGTTTCAGGAATTCTAGCTCCTGGGGTATGGTCTCACCTTTCGTCTTCAACAGAATTGAAATTTTTTGAAGCTGCAATACATTCAACCTTTATATTCAACCATAAACATGACACTAACAATCACTACCTAGACAGACAAGGGTCTCCATAAAGCACTCGACCAATATATCAGACAAACCAACTTGAGGAGTTGATCAAATATAGAAGAATCCAAGCTTCGAATGAAGCAACTTCAAAATAATTTTCAAGTGCTCGAACAAATAACAAGCATTCAGTAACAACGGGTGCAATAACAGCTCAACCAGAAATATTAGGATTGAAAGGAGACTTCATCGCACATTTTGTACGAAACCAATTCTACAAGTCTAAAATATTAAGCATGTAGTCACAACATCGCTCTCCAACTTCTCCAGATTTTGGAATAGAATGCAATCATATTGGCCAGGAAGTTTGAAAGCTTACTGAATGCTCAAGTCTCTCATTCTCTTCAGTTAAATTTCTAACTGTCTCCTGCATTACCTCAAAAACAAAATCAAAATTAAACAAATGAACAAACGTTAATGGGTTGCATACGAAACATTATTTCAGAAGTGTTCGCAGCTCCACACGCATAGCAAATTGTCAAATGTCTAGCTTCCCTTGACATTAGATCCATTACAAACTTCTAACGAGGTGTTCTGTATTCCGAGACCTCATTGGATTACTGAAGCTAGCAATGATGAGAAGAGATGAAGTGATTCTAAAGGGAATGATTAAAAGACATACCTCCTGCCGTATGACAAGGCTGTGGCGATCCCACAGGAGGAACGTGGTACACACGAAGAACGCAAATAGAATCAGGACCCGCCTCGGTCGCCGCAGGTAATATGTGGGGTGTAAGAACCGGGGCAACAAAGTCGATGTTCGCGTATGCCTTGCCATTTTCTTCAACAGTGCTTATCAGTTGCACACAGCTTCGAATTACAAGCTTCAACGTCGCCAGATATCCATGAAGGTGTTGGTATGTGTGCGGTTACTAAAGCAACTTCGATCTAATGTCACCAAAAACTTTCCTTTCACTTCGGGCCACGCTCGGCATTTTACAGCTGTGATACGAGATCTGTGTCGGGAAACCCTAAATTAATCGCACTTGACCTAATCCAATATGACAATGTGAATGCAATGAAGTCAAAGTCGACGATCCAACACTCAATTGAGCTTGGGAGCCTAAACCACTTTGATACCCCTTTCCGATGCACCATCAACAAGCTACAATGAAAAGAATCACCTTCCAAACACACCACCGACGCTACAGTGCAACAGAAATCTCATGTGTATGTAGATCACACAAAGGTTTTACTCACGCACCATCAACCAATCCGACGAGTAGGGATGGACACTGTCTGCACTGCCAGTCACAATTCCAAACCACGTCTGTTCGAAAAAAACAAAAACGGTCCTACGAAGATATGCTCAACTCCACCTCCTGTAACTCAATCAAGGCCAAACCGGAATCAGCTCCTGAAGGCCAACCCTCATTTGCGCAACACAAACGACCATCGCCTACACAGGGGGAAGCACCACCAAAAACGGCAAAACGTACACCACATCGACAGACTCTACTTCATCGAATCTCCTCCCCACAAATGGATTGTGATGACACCAAAACTTCGACGGTTGCAGATGTGGGATGGCCCGAAATTCAACGTAACACTGCTCATGATCTCGATGAAATAGTTTCACATGATTCCCAATATCGGCGTTCGGAGCACATCCCAAACGCAACAATAAAAAAAAAAAATAGTTGAATAAATTATAATAAAAAATAATTAAAAATAATTCTAGAATAATTCGAAATTTTAAAAACAAAAAAAGATGAAAAACATTTAATGACAACATTCTTGAAATACTTTAATTATAAAATTAAATTGTTCTTTATATATTGTCATAATATTTTATATTTATTTTGAATTAATTAGTTTAATTTACTAGTCCAATGTATATTATAAATATTCACTTATTTTTTTTTACACATACATATATAAAATAAAATATAAATATAAATAATAAAATTTATAGTTCATGCTTAAAACTAAAAGATAAATAAAAATGTTAAGACTATGATGGAATAACATCAGTCTTTCTTATTGTTTTAAGAGGCTAGGTAAAAATGTCTACGAGTTTATTTGTATTATGAAAAATATTAATAAAACTCTTATCAAAGTGAATCAAAGTAAATTGTATCAAACTACTAGGTAAAAAAAAACACTTTACAATGATATTTATGTTCTTTTGATAAAATTAAAATTAAAATCAACATAAGAATTAGCTTTAATTATTTAAGATATATTTTGTATAATTTTTAAAAGTTTATACACAATTAAGATGTTTTTTAGAACCAAAATTTTCTTTTGTTATTACATAATTATAAAAAATCACACAACTTCTCACTTTAACTATATTTTTTGTAGAGAGAAAATAATTTCAGGTGTAAGTAGGATTTGATTATAATTTTTTAGATGTGTTTGCTTTTTGTTTCGAGTATTGATGCTACATTTGGATCAAGTGAGCCATTCCATACTATGTATATATATATAAAAAATAATAATAATATAAGAAACATTAAATACAAATATTTATAATAAGAAATTCTCTTTGATTATATTTATTGCTTTGACAAAAAAATGATAATTAAAGTCAAAATATAAAATTAACATAATATTAGATATGTAATTTTGTAAAAATTAAATAGGCTTTAATTTCTATTTTAAAATATAAATAATCTTTTAAAATAATAGAGTGCATAAATTCAATTATGTAACTTTACAAAAATAATTTTATATACCTTATAATCCTATTGTAATTAGAAAACATAACTGAAGTATATTAAATTATAATTTCATGAGTAAATAATATAATTTGTATGTATAATATAATATATGATTTCTATTATACCACAAAAGAATCAATACCTTTGATTAAAATAAATATGATAAATAAATAATAACTATTTCTTAAAAAAAACTTTACAACAATCTATAACATGATTTTATAAAAAAAATAAATGATAGTGATATATTTTATGTAACTTAAAATAAAAATACAATAAACCATCTATATGACTAATATACAAAAAAAATTAATTTTTTATGAAAAAAAATTATTTAATATATTTTTTTTGAATATTTTATATGTTATTAAATATCTTTAAAATACTATATAATTATTGTTACTTGTCTAAGAAAATATCTTTGTGGATTTTAAAAATTTAGCTATAAAATTAAATAAATAATACTAAATCTATTTGTTTTTAAATTTAAAGTTATACCTATTATCTATCTAGTAATAATCAATAGTCCAATGAAATAAAAAAAAAAATGCTTAAAAAATGTTGCATCTACTTTTTTAAAGTCAATGATTGGAACGTTGTCTTAAAATTTTGTTCAATTCAATCCTATTAATGTTTTAATTTTATTATTGAGATTAAAAAATATTTTTGAAACAATGAATAATAAATTGGTAAAAATAAAATATAATACCATCTAAAAACTATTAGCTCAAGTAAGTTGTTGGTAGTCAAAGAATTGGCTCTTGAGATGTAGAAGGATATAAAATATATGAAAAAGAATATTTCAATGGTAGGTAGAAGCTAAATGATATCTTAGTGGTAGGTAAGATGTTATGTACTATTACATATAAGTAAAGAATGTTAGAAGTACAAATTATCTTATTCTATAATTTTTTTGTATTACAAATATAATCAATACTTGTAATTATCTAGATAAGAGGAATTATATAGAAATAAATAAAAATAGATAAATTATATAATATATTATAGAGAAGCTTTGTAGATACAAATTTGACTTTATATGTATTTGTGGGTGATTATTAGGTTCAAAACTAGACCAACAAGTTGGCTACATATTGTATATGTTGGCCACTTGTTGTATAAGTTGGCAATGTGGCGCATGTATAGAAAACTTGCCTTACAAATTAGACATACATTCTACATATTGAACATGTATTAGAGGTCTTATAGAATATTATTGTATAGCTTCTAATCAAATAATATATATAGAAGCAAGAGTAAGATATTATTTGCTATTGTCAATGTCTTTCTTATTCTTAATCTTATTTCAAGAGTTTGTAAGCTTCTTATATTTTTCTCTTTGAATGTCACAAAAGCATATTATTTATGTATATTTTTTGTTATAATTTGTATTCTTAATACTTTGTGTGCAACCTTGATGATGTTAAGTATTGAGACTTTTAACTTTTCTTTCTTTAATAAGCTTTGGATCTACTTATATTTGCTTATAAGTTTTGAAGTTCTATAAAGTCTTTGTTCTTATAATGAGTAGATTAAGTTGTTTTGACTAATGTTAAGATTTAGAACCTCTTAACTTTTAATTTCAAATCTAAGTCTAGATTTTAGTTTGCTCTTGTTTGTTAGTAAATGCCTTTTAAGTTTGAAATTTAATTTTTACCATAAAATATTGTTACATGATATTAGCATTATATTATTTTGCTAAGTTAGATCTTTGAAGAACTAATTTTGAGGTTTCATGTGTTAATAAAGTTCAAGGTATTGAAAAAACCTATTATTGTATTTAGAAGTGAATTATAAGTATAGAAGTAATTCAAGAGTAGAAACTCTAATTTGAGATATTAATATTGTTCTTAAAACTTATTAGAAGTCTTTGAATTGAAGTCTTTGAATTTTAGGACTCAATATTTTGATATATTTCTTCTTAAGACATGAATTTAAGTAAAGGTGAAGGCTTAAGAGTCATTGAAAAGTTTAGAAAAAAAACTTTCTACTACTAAAAGATCAAAATAGAGCTTTTATTGGCTTTATTGGATCTTTGGAATATTGTAGATGAAAATGAAGTCTTTTAAAGCATGCATGTTGATATGAAGGAGAAAAAAGTCTTAAAATTATATGAAAAGAAAGATTTAGGCATAATTGCCAATAATTTGAATAAAAATAATTTTTCTTACATTATCTCTTATAAAAGACTAGTAACAGCATAGAAGACTCTTTAAAATATTTATTAAAGTAAGAATATTTTCAATATTTTCTTTTAAAAAAAGTTATTTATATTCAAGATGGAAGAATGTGAAGTTTTAATGACTTATGTCAACCTTATAAAGGCTCTTGCAAAGCAATTAGCAATTATTAATAAGCCTTTAGAAGATGGTGATATTATCATGATCTTACTAATGACTCTTCTTGAATCCTATAATCATCTAATTGTGGAATTAGAGTCTAATAATTTAAGAGAAGTTATAATGGAATATATAAAGATAAGACTTATCAATGAAATGACTAAAAAAAAAAAAAAATCAATGTGAAGATTTGGATTTCTTTTTAAGATAAGACAAAGATAGCTATTTAAATCAATGTGAGATTATAAGAAGCATTATAAGACCTTGCTTCATTTGTGAAAAATTAAGAGACTTTGCACAAAAATGCTATAAGGCCAAAAAAAGAGATAAAGAAAATACTAACCATATATGTGTTGAATATAAAAGAATGATTATATATTTATAGTAAGTAAAGATACATCTATGGTTGCCAAATCTAAATAGATTGTTGATTTGGGTTCGACTAAGTATATGACTTCATACAAGTATTCATTTGATATTCATAAAAAGATTCTATTAATTACTTTCATGGAAGATAATAACATAATGCAAGCCATTAGAATGAATACATTTGTGGTAAAATATGTTGTGAAAAATCAAATTAAGAAGATCAAATTGAAGAATATACAAGATTAAGGTATTATATATAAAGAATGGAAGTAAATACTTCTCAAAGAAATTTTCATAGTTTCTTTAAGATTAAAGATATTGCAAGATAAACATCCACTTCTTATATTTCATTATAAAATATAATTATTAAAAGAAAAAATCAAATAATTATAAAAATAGCAAAGAATATGCTTCATATTGAATACTTTAGATATGAATTTTTGGCCAAAGTTGTGATTAATAGAATATATACAAAGAATAAATATTTCTTAAGTGCACTCAAATTAATAATTCTAAAAGAAATTGGAGTAAAATAAGACCTTATAATTTACATATGAAGATTTTTAAATTTATTATTTATACAAAAGTACCAAATTATATGAAGACCAATTTTAATAGTACAAAATAAATATTTTACAATATCCAAGAAATATACATTTATGACATATATGCTAATAAATTTGAATATAAAAAAAATCATTAAAATTTGTGATGTTGAATTTTTGTTACAAACATATATATTTATTCTAATATTATATATATGATTAAGTAGAAGTAAATAAAAGTAAATTTATTTCATAATATTTTTTAGAAAAGTTTTTTAGAAGCTTCATAGATGTTGCTTTGACTTTACATGTGTTTATAGTTGATTGATAGATTAGAAACTTAGTAAATAAGTTAACCACAAGCTAATTATGTCACACAAATATAAAAAAATTGCCTTGTAAATTAAGATACATGTCTTGCAAAGTTAACACACTTTTGAGGTCTTATAGGATATTGCTACATAGCTCCTAGTTAAGAGTATATATAGAGGCAAGAGTGAAGCCTTCTTCACTCTTATCAATGCCATTCTAGTCTTTACTCTTATTTTCAAGACTTTCTATTATTCTTGTCTTTAGCAATAG